CCTGTTTTGTCTCTATCAGCAGTTTCCCCACATCAACCTACAATGAAATAGGTAAGCCACTTACACCACAGACTGTTCAAGTTATTCCAAATTTGATTGGCATATTCTTATCTCCTTGGTTTTGTTAAGCAAGCTGAACCTCAATAACACACTGAGAAGATGAACGGGCTAATGAAGCAGATTGCATGATCTGAAATCATTCCCTTACAGGTAAAGTTCAGACCTGTTGATAGTAAGAGGATTTTTTTCTGCTTTCCGTGGTTACTTTTCACTCCTGGTGCAGCTCCCTGGCTTTGTGTTAGCTACATACTGAAGGAAAACAACATCTCAGTGTAACACTGATGATTGACTTTTTGTGTAATTAAAAAAAAGTAACTTTCCCTCTTTTCACTTCAGCATTACAAAAACATTTTAAGTGCATGTCCACACTAAATGGGTCCTTAATCTGAAACAGTCCACCCATGTATCAAAAGATGCAGAAAATATTTCCACAATACAACTGCACACAACTCCTTTTTACTCAGGGGAAAAGCATTGTGGGTAAAGTGTAGTTACTTTCAATGTACTTTAGCCCTTGACTGTGTGTCACATTGCTTGTGCTGTGCTGTCAGGTGGAATACAACATTGTTATAATGCTAGAATTAAGGCTTCCATACTGACTCAGAATGGCTGGGGGTTTGGTTTTTTTTGTTGCAGCACTTAAACTATTCCCTTTATTATCCTAGAAGAGATTATCTGGTCATTTAACTCTCTCCCTGCTTTTTTTCCTCATATATATGAACACAGAGAAAGTTTCAATACGTTTTATTCTAGATAGAGAGGAGCGACCCCTCCGTGCTGATGTTGCACTCTTATATCATCTTGTCAAGGGGACTGGGGCTTTCTAGCTTCTGGCCAGGGCAATGGGCTCTGGGTTAGCAATGAAGTGTGGCTTTTTGAAGGGAAGGGACCTTCCTGGAGCTCACAGCAGAATGACCTTTGTATACTGACAGGGGCTAAACCTCACATTTGCATTGAGCCTCTCCTGGTGTGCAAGGTTAGCCAGCTGTTGGCTGGAGGAGGCACAGTGCCAGAGACAAAAGCATGTCCATCTCCCATCAGCCAAAGCTGGCACATCCTGCAGTTTGGAGGGACAGGGCATGCAATGCCCTTCTCAGCAGCCACAGTTATCTACAATATAGGAGGCTTTCCAGAATAAGCTCCATTGCAGGGAAGATGGGATTTACAGGCAGCCCATATGTCAACATGAATCATCAGTGTTAAGGTACAGGCTTCCTGCAGACTACCAGGGCAGGGAGAAGCCTGCTCTTTCAATCCACTTCTTCCATTCTAGTACCCAGGACAGGGAAGGGTTGAAAAGTAGGACTTCATTCTTCAAAGAAGCCCTTTCTTAAAAGTTCCAGAAAAAACACATGGAAAAAAGATAGAAAGTGAAATGACTGGTTTAGCTCTAGTTGTACACAAACCCACACATTTAAAGAGCAGTAAATGTGCAGCATCAAAGCTAAAGTGTTAGAAAGCAGCATGAACTCAAATAGTGAAAAACAACATCAAAAGACAGACTGAAGCTGTGAATGAAAGTTCTAAAGGCAGCCTTAATTCTAACAGTTCCTCAATTTGGTGTGTTTGACTTTCAGCTTCACTCATACTGTTTGAAATCAGTTGTCTTTTTTTGTGATAGTTCCTGGATTTTGAAAGAATTTTTTAAAAAATATTTTTAAAAATACAGAAATTCTATTACATGGGACATGAAATATCTGGTTAATCAACAGCTTTGAGCATCTGTGATCCAATACACAGCTTTCTGACACATTCATGGAATAGCTAATAGCACTAATACACTGTCGTTTTGTATGATGACCAACATTATAAGTAAATAGCATTTTGCTACTAAGTTTTCAGATATTTACTGACTACAGAGGAAGCACAAAGCTTGGTTTTCATACTCAACCTGGAAAGACTCATAGACATAATTTTTTCACCCTACTCCTCCTCTCCCCAATGATCAATTTGGTCCCAGTTTGTTTTCAGCCTCCAAGTCCTTTTTCAGTTTTATGATCCTCCTTTCCTTCCCAGTTTCAAATCAGTCCCCAAGCTATGTTGTTGCAGCTCCCAACTCACACCAAACTGTCTCCTTCTCGTCAGCTTGCTCCATTCAACTCAATCCAATGCTAGAAACTCAGTCCCTTTTTGATTTCCTCTAGCTCATACAAATTGCCTCTCCTCATACAAATCAGTCAGTTCCCTCCTCCATTCCATCATGGTCTCTATAAGGGGTAGGCAATCTGGAGAATTTGTCAGAGAACATGAGAATCAAGCTCCCCCGCTTTCCATTCCAATCCTAACTGAAGGCTGCTGAAGTAAATAATTTATAGGGCTGGACCTTCAGAGCCCCTAGAGCTTGCACGTGATCAGTGAGTGTGGTCCCAGTCAGCGCATACACACCCTAAGAAGACAGGAGAATTTTCTTATAATAGCCATATTTCCTAAACGTTTCAAATAATGGGCCTTGAAGACAGAACTAGTATAAAATAACTGACAGGTGTCATTGTGGACAGACATACTTTCGTCAAGCCTCTTTGCTGAAAACACTGCAGCCTTTTTTGCTGAACTCTAAAATCATCCATCTGAGGGCAGCAATTGCTGAGGGCATAAATCAAGCTAAATGGTTAACTTTCAGCTATGTTCTAATTAGTAGAGAACAAGGTCTTGCAATGAAAAGAATCAGGGAATAAGCGACTGTAACTGCTTACAGCTCAGTAACAAATGAGCTAACAAAAGAAACTAGTGTGAGAAGAATATGAATAATGTGTTTTATTACTTTCTCTTCTCCCAGAAATTCCCCCTACTTCCCAAATAATTTCCTCCTGCTGGCTTCCTCAGGTGTTATTGAGTACCTGGGAAACAAACGAATGAATGAAAACACTAACTATGCTGGAGAATGTTGCCTGACAGTGTGATGCAGTTTAAGGCGAACAGCTGGAGCAGAGTGATGGGCTGATGGGAACAGTCAGTCATTTTGTTGTTCAGACTGCAAGGCACTAGAGAGTACAAACAGATCAAAATGCAAAGAGACAGCAGTACCTATGGGGTATACAGACACCATGTTTACAAAGAACCCCTTACCTCTGAGGCATGGCCAGCTGCACAACTTCAAGGTAGGATATTTATTTGAGGTTGAATTACTCTAGAGCTTGCAAACCAAATTTCAACCCTCCTTGAAGAGATGTGAGCTCTATAATGCAGAATTCACTGACGCTTGTTTGGCTCCTGAAAAATCTCAGGTAATAGATAGGTCAGGTAAAGGAATGGGGATTCACTTGCACCTTCACAGGCCTAGTAGCAGGGAACAAAAAGCCATGGTTTATGTAGTCAAGGTAATTTGTAAAGTAAATTTTCTCCTTAGCAATTCAATTGCTAATTAGCAAATCGTCAACTGCGCACAGCAAAAACCCCCCAAACAATCAAACCAAAGGTCCCTTACTTGCAGAGTTAACTACACAAGTAAAAGCTGCTTAGAGCACCAAGTTTCTGAAATTGCATAACTGAAGTCAGCCAGCCAGCCTTTAAACTCAGCCAATGAGTTCTGATTAATCCAGATGCATTCTACAGCTTCTTCCCGAATTGGAGGATGCTGGTAGGGGAACTTGAATTTATGTTCTGGTAAGGAAACTGCTGAGCTGCCAATGTCTTTATCAGCCTGACATTTCTTTTCATAGGCTACAAAAACTCAGTGGCAGTACAGGTGGTCTCCTTTCTGTTGTTTCCATGCAATGAAGATCTTATGATAAAAAGAGTACTGTACCATACTGATGACAGCTTTCTTTTTCCCAAATCATGAAATGTCAGATAATCTCTTCATTGTACAAAGGCAAACTAATTTGCAGCAGAAGTTACCTCCAAATTTGTGGAATTGAAATCAGCTTTGTAAGCCTTAATAGTGTCTGCACAAGAGCAATTTCAGATCTTCAGGTATCCAGGATGCTTTGACCAATGTCCCCATATGTGATGACCCTGACAGCTTTGTGACAGAACATCCAAAGAGGTTTGCTCCAACTTGGGCTTTTCTGATCACTAACTAGGTTGTGCTGTTTCACTCATTTCAGCTAACCAGGAATTTTAGGTACTGACTCATTTTGCCTGGATTTGTTTGGATTTGGCAGATGTCTGCAGGCAGCAGACCTACTAGGCAGGTACTTTTGACAGAGAGATGGAGGCAGGAGGACTTAAACTGCTTAAAGCCAATTCTATTACGTTTATCTGCCTTCAGCCTTTGGTATTCAAGTGGAGGCTGCCCAATTGCCTGTGTTGTCTATCAAAGGTGGCCTTGACTTTGCTTTAAGCACAGACTTGCTTTTGGTTTAGACAGGAAGAATGCTTTATAGCTGCACTGAAGGCTCCCTTGGTGGGTTAACATCTGGATACAGTGCCCATAGGGTAGCTGGCAGGCAGCTGTGTGGTGAAGGAGAACAGCTGTTTATGGCCACTGACAGTGACTGCTCAGTCATATTAGTGCAGATATAACCAACAGACTTCTTGAGAACAACACATGGGATCAAACATAATGTGCAAAAATGTATGCTTTATATTTACACTGAAATTCTTTATATGAGGCTGGGTAGGAATTTTTCTTGTAATCAGTCTATGTGACTTCAAATTTGGTCACAAAAACTGGAATTTCTATATGCAGAGAACAACACTACAGCAAAAGCATATCCTGGTAATACTGTAATAACAACTCTTCAGATTTCTGTTAATTGCATCATTCCCCGAAAATTATCTTTTTTTTTTTTAAAATGAAATTTCTCTTGCTAAGTCTCAGACAGAAAGTGAGCAATAAAATCTGTCTAGTCATTTCTATGTCATCCATTAATCACCAAAACTAAAGCTGACTTTGAAACATGTCACGTGTGTATGTCCATGAGGAATTTACTAGGACAATATATCTCTTATACTCTGGTTATTTCATTGACTTTATTTTTATAGGGAAGAAAATCAGGTAAAGTAGTAATGGCTCACTGACTGTAACTGACCAAAATCCCACAATAAATCAAAACGAGACTTCCAAAGCATTGAAATTATCTCATTTATCTTAAGGGAAAAAAAAAAAGTCAAAAGCACAAAGAGCAGTTTGGTCAAATTTGATGTTACAAAACATTTTTTATATTTATTTAATATCATGTCTCCTACTCTGTAGATATACTGTATATTTTCTGAAAAAATAATATGCAAACAGATTATTGCATAACACATCTCTTCCAATTAGCCCTGAAATATTCACTAAATTACTTTTTAACACAATAAGAAAAGTGTTTTAATATTTTACGTTTAAATTCCAGAGAGTTTTATCACATAAGATATTCTGTGGAAAGCAGCACCTATTTACTTCTTTGTAAGCCATTATGAAGCTCGAATTGGCCTCTCAGACAAAATAACAGAGGTGATTAAAACACAAGCTAAATAAAGAAGCTTACTGAGTGGATTCTTGCAGAGTATTTCACTTTGCTCTGTGTGTGCGTGCGTGTGTGTGTGTGTATGTGTGTGTGTAATATTTTGCATAATGGTCTACAGACCTCCTAGGATTTTGCTATTACATAGTATACATATACATAGTGCTGAGACACAGAGAATGGTATTTCACATTATGTCTATGCTTGTTCAGGGCTCACTGTCTATGTGGAATGAGTAAAAGTAATAGTAAAAGAAAATAATTCTGAAACAGAAAATATTTCATTATGCAAACAAAGAAAAATACTGTATTTTAGATTAGAGACAGTTCAAGCATATACAGCATATACATAATAAAGCTCAGGTGTTGGGGGTTTTTGTTGTATTAACTAAAGAAGCAGTCATGAAACTGTTGAATATTGGCTTAAAACTTGACAACCACCTAGTGCATTCTTCTTGCTCACCTTTTAAAAATACACAATCTGAGATGGATACATTGCACTGCTGGAGTTTACAATATATATTTCAAATTTACAAAAATACAGAAAAACAAGATTTCTTGCACTCAGATACTGAGCATTAACCCTTTGAGTACTAATTCCCACCTGCAACACTGCAGAACACATTCATCTGACTTATATGTGTTTATAACATTCTAACAATTATAACTGTCATCTTTATGTACACTATTAAGAAATGTATTCCTACATATTAAAAACCAAAAAGGTAGAGTCTAATAAACTGCTAATAACAGAAAAATAATGGGCTGAAGTATGTTAAGATTTCTGCCACATATACACAGAGAATCACAGACTGATGATCTCTCAAAAGAATTTTCCATTTCCTCTCTGCAGCAATTACATAAGTCTGTGTTAAGACACCACAGCAAACTTTCTCATGTGGCCATACAGAATTGTGCTTTTTCTCTCATTTCTGGATGCACTGTTCACTTTCCACTGTAGACATTTTTCTCACAGCTCTATGCTCCCATTCACTTTCTGCAATCTATTATTATTCTACACCCTTCCCATTTGTAAGAAGTGGTTTTATTTCATATAGGGATAATTATGATGCAGTTCTGTACTGTGAGTTGATGCTTTGTGTCCAGATGTTCATGGAAACATGAAAAAATTTCTTGCCAAGAGCCTTGTTAATTAGAGAATGGAATGCCCTACAATTCAGCAGAAATCATGAGCATAAAGAACTTCTCTGAAGGTCAAATTTGCATTAAAGGATGAAGACAAGCCGAAATTTGCTAGGGAAGGAAATGGGTTTTCAGAAAGCAAGTGGTGAAATTAATAGATGGACTCTAAGAAGGTGGTTTTTTTAAAAATTACTGAACTTTCTCTTTCCTAACAACTCTGGACTACGTTGATCATGTAACTAAATAGACAATATCATATATACAGTGTCTCTGAACCAGAATAAGATACTTTAAGAAAATAACTGTAGTCCTCAAAGAGTTAATGGTAAAACTGCTCTACCTTAACAGATGTGGAAAGGTTATCATGGAACAGCTTACAGATTTGCTCAAAAGGCATACTTTACAAACAAGTGTAAAACTTGCTGAGACAGTTGCTATTACACCGCACAGTGTCACATACAATGAGTAGTGCATGCTCTGTAAAGACATTAGAGTGGACCCTTATCAAAGCTATCATATAACCTTATACAAAGGATTGTGCCACTTAAACTAGTGCAGAGTGATTTTTTTTCCTGTAGATTCATAATGCTCTAGATTAATATCAATAGGGTTTTTCACAGCCTTGTACAACACTTTTTTTGTTCTTTTTTAACACATGTAACACTAGAAAACAGCAAATGGTATATCCTGACATATGTCATGCAAAATACAACCAATACAGCACCAAAGATGTAATAGAGACATTACCTAGCACTTCTCTCCAACAAGAAAAAGGACAGAACAGAGACTGTACATTACATGACTTTACAGGCCATATGCTACAGAAGATCTTTAGAGGCAGTATCACTTTTGTAGATCTAAAAAGCTGCAATTTTATAAAATCCTGTTTATCACTTCTACCATAGCCACTTCTGATTAAAATCCATGGCACAGTAATAATATTTTGCTACAAAAATAAATAAGCAAAAGTTTAAGATGCTGATATGTTTATAAAAAGTGTCTGAAGATACTACAAAACAAAAGTGAAAACAATGAATGAAAATGATGTGTTTCTAAAGAAATGTTGTTCTGTATAACAAAAGGATATTGCCTCTCATATTCAATTGTCTAAACTTCATTTTCTCGTTATCTTTCGGAATAATTTTATAACTTTCTTTTAAAAATAACTTCACTTTAAAACTGTCACTATCCCTCTTTTTTAGACTCTTATTAAGAAAAAGAAAATAAAAATGAAAAGCTGTACAATTTACTGATGAGCTACACAAATACATAATATTATTTATTTTGGAATAAAAACAAAGATAATGATGGTTTAGGACAAAAAACACATCATGATGGCCCATGAACTACACAGTAGTTTCATTTTTCCAAGGCCCAGTTTTGATATTTCCTGTACTATCTGAGCTGTATATCATGGCTTCATGCACGTTTCCCTTGAGAATTCCATTGTGATTCGTCGTATTAAATGGCAATGACTGTGTCCGTGGGTGCATTTCAAAATGAGCTGGATGGTGCACAGTGTCACTGTCTGGCATTTTAGCACAACTATATATTACAGTACTTGCGTCGCTACTTTCGGGCTGGTTGACAGTAGGATATGGATCACTTTTTGAGCAGCAGGCCCGTCTGTGACCTGACTGGCTATCGTGTGTACTGTGGGGACTGTCTGTATGTGAACTGTGGATGCTGCCATCAATACTCGAAGGGATGTGATAGGCATACTCCCTTTCACCTGCAGACCTATGCCGACTGAAGTAACGTGGCTTAGTTCTGCTTTTCAGACATCTGTGAATGTGCATATTGGGTCTGAAGGTTCCCTCATTGTGGACATGAATGTGAGCTTCATCATCAAGTAGCTGATCACAGTGCATCTTTGCACAACAGGGAGTCACAGGGGAAAGGCAGTTAACGTGGTTTTGAACCGCTTGTAGGTTAGTGAGTTTGCAGTGGCTGGCCGCCGGATGATTAAACACAGCTGATTTGTTGGGACATGGTGATTCCTGAAGACAAGGTGCATGAACTTGAGTGTCACCATTGACATTAACCTTTGGGCGCACGTTAACTTGGACGGAATAGGTGTTTCTTTTGGATGGGCAACAGGACCACCAGCAATGCCATACATCATCTCGCTTTGCACAGTGATGGATCAGGATGAAAAGCCCCAAGGTCACACAGAAGGCTCCATAAAGACAGCTAAATATCATATCCAAGAAATGACCTTGAGATACTGCAAGTGCTCCAAAGGTCCAAGTGGCAGTAAACAGGAACAAAGTGAATGCTGCGGCTCGAAGCTGAGCCTTGAATGAATGCTCATTTTCCAATAAGGAAGAAGAAATCATGGGGCAGGTTGCCTGGGGAACGGACACAGAGTCTGTAATATGACCATGGCCCACATCAGTACTCGGTATTCTCTGTGGATCTTCCGTCTTTTCCTTTAACTCATACTTGCGTTCAGGATGGCGCTTCAGTTGCACGTATGTGCAGAGGAAGTAAACACAGGTGACGAGCACAATGAATGCTACTGGCCCATAGAAAGCACCGAGACTGGGCTCCCACGCCATCCAGCAACTAAAAACAACAAAAAAAAGAGAGTCAAGAACATTTTAGAGCCCACATCAGATGTGATGGACAACTGACTGATGTCTGACTAGTATGACACAACAGTATCTCAGAAGTTCAGATATGCTTGTTGTGGAGAAAAGAGAGTGTGTCTAACATCAATTAAGCTGAGGCATCACTTTCTTATTTTTTAATAGAATAAAATGTCTAGTATAAATTACAGATTATTAAAACTAAAATTTTCCAAGAAATGTAGGTCAGTTTAGACTCTGAAATTGCAGTGAAGTATAAGACCATTTATATAACCCCCTTTTTTTAGTATTAAAAATGTCAGCACTAATACTTTGATTAAAAAGCAAATGAGGCATAGTTTATAGAGTGTGTGAGCAATAGAAATGAACAGATTTCAATGGTTTGTATCAACAAACATTGATATGAATTCTTAAGCCTGAAGATTGTTCTTACAGAATTTTCTTCTTGCCAGAGAACATCCTGAGTACCAAGAGAGGCTGCAAAAAGACTTCCAGTTGGACAGTCACCCCTTTCTGCAGTGAGTGGGCCCAAAAGATATATGCCATTTCTGAATTCTGCACTGTTTCCAAAGTTCCTAGGAGTTAATTTACATCAATCTGAATGTCCTCAGAAAAATTAAGGAACCTGATAGTCTCTTTGTGATACGTTGGTAGCATAATATCATTGTAGCATGACCACAATGGTCTTCTAGGCTTTAAATAATATAACCATAACTGTTCTAGAGCAGCTTAAAGTAGTTCACAGGCCAGTATGAGTCTAACAGGACTGTCTTGAGGATGAAGGACCTGATCAAACACACATGGGGGAAAAAATGCTTCTGGCTGATGAAATCCTAGATGGAAACTGGGAGAACATGGGTCAAAGGGAGAAGATATATTTGCCTAGTTTTGACTCTTCTCTATGATCTGCTTTTAGCCATAGTTACAGATAGGGAACTGAGCTGGCAGTATAGTCTAGTACAGCTGTTATTAGGTTCTTTAAGTATTGCATGGATTTCTGGAAAGAGGAATAAGTTACTTTCCTTATCTCTTGGACCAGGACAGGAAGTAATGGGCTTAAACTGCAGCAAGAAAGTTTAGATCAGATTTTTTGAAAAGTTTCCTAGCTGTTAGGACAATTAGGATAATAAGCTGTTGAAATGAAGTGTGGTCTATCCATTATGGGAGCATTTAAAGCACCTCAGATAAATAACTGTCAGGAGTGGTTTGGATATAGCTAATTTCCCACTGGGTCAGAAAGACAGACCAGGTGATATGTCATTATCCATTCCAGCTCTAAAAGTGACACTGTGTGACACTTCATACTCATTTAGGCATGCGTGATTAGTTGCAGTCCCTTCAATTCCAGTGAGGAAGCTTCTGGTATCACATTCTTGTCAAGCCAGGAATTATCTACAAGTTACTATAAAAAGAGCACAATGACTTTTTCTCCCAGGCTGAGAACTTCTCAGCTAAATAGAGACAGTGCCACTGGGTATTATCACAAGAAACTTCAAAATAATGACTTTGAATTTTTGAAATCTGAAACTTAAACAAAAGTATACATACACGTATTAAGGAACTTAGAAACACTCTGAACAGTACATAATTTGCTGTCAGACAGGCAAATGAAAAGATTCCCTGAAAGATATCTGTGAGAAGTTACCACCTATATTTAATTGGGGAAGCAGAGAACACAAAGCTACATGCATATTTGAAGTACATTTGAATGCTGCATATTTGATGCAAAGTGGAGAATGGAATGCTCCCCAGCGGAACAGTCTCTTGGGATGCTCTTATTTCAAGTGGAATCTCATTGTGGATCATTTAAAAAATCAGTTGTGGATAAAAGTTCAAGTTTGTGCATCTACATTTATTGTACTAATACTATAAAAAATGAGTAAGGCACATAACTCGATATGCTGCCATCGAATTAGAAGCTGTTTTTTCACTCAGTCTTACAACCATCCTTCATCTGTCCCTTGTTTTCTGGACAGACTGGGGTACCAGGTATTGATTTGCTATATTAACATGATTAAAGAAGCAAAACCTCTGTCACTGCACCAAAATGAAAAACATCTCACATTTATGAACATAAATAACAGTCATATAATATACTGTTGATTATAAGGGACTGTTTAATTGGATAAATTTGAAGAACTATATGAATGTGAGTTGGGCCCTAGGCAGAGCAACCAGTTAGCCATGGTATGCACTGATTTCTTACCAGAATCTTAATTTCGATTACCTATAAAAATGGCTTTAAGGAGGCAGATGCTCCCTCACAAACCATTCTCCTTGGTTGCCACTTTTCATGCCCAGAACATAACCAGTTTCAAGTGTGTTTCAATAGATGCTCAAAGCAGTAACTAAGAGTGATGTCCTCCAGAGTCCTAGTGCTGCCAGAGTACCAAAATATCCATTAGTGTGCCAGTCCTTGCCATGCTGATCTGTTACACACAGTATTTAACTTTGCAGTCTAATTAACTTTCTGCTACATTTGCATGGAAAGACTTATTGTAGTTTACTGATATCTCATGCTTCATGCCAAGAATTAATAACAATGTGATGCCTGGAGAGCTTGTGGAGGTCTACTGAACACTAACTAGACATGAGAGGACTATGTCAGGATTGCATGACTTTGTGACTGAAATGTTTCCAGGTGGTGAAAATCCAAAACATTTGGTTTTTAATGGCAGAATGGGGATGGAGAAGGTGGGTTAGAGATTTGTACTTGTCCTTTTTTTCACATAATTGATATAATTTTGCATTAACGGATACCCAAAGGATATCAATTCAAGGTAGATAATGAAATGAAAATATTTAATTAACTAATAGCTCCATTAAGTATGGTATCCATTAGGTATTTTTAATATCCTTTCACTCATTCAGATGTAAATGAAGAGTAATTTTGTAAATGAAAGTGATTGTATTGCCAGTAATGGAGTCAAGTCAGTAGAGGTGAAGTAGCAAGCCCCAGATTAAGACATTGCTCTCTCACAGCTAATATTTATTAAAATTTCATAACAAATATCATCCCAAATTCCCTACCCTTTATGAAGTAGGGTATTTACATTTATTACATTTATTGGCATAAGAAAATGTTTTCCTTAAAAGTTTTATGATAATTGTTTATACTTACTATGGTGCATTGCCTTCAATCCCATAATTATTGATATTGGTTGCTGCTGTAATCCCACATATAATGAAAGGAACTCCACCACTAATCAGGTAAAATCTGTTGAGAGATAATAACCAATATTTTAATTTGCCTGACTTGTAGTCGAATACTGCTTTTTAAATAACTGAAGAATTTCTTGAAGAATTTTGAGAATAAAATATTGCTGAAACATTAAACATGTCCCTAAAACCAGAAAAGCAAAAAATAAAATATTGTCACAATAAACACTGTACTTTATGAAGCAAAGAGCAGAAAGCTTAATATTTAATATTTATATAGACCCACTTTTAACAAACTCTTTATTTGCAACTTTAGTAAAGGTAGTTACTGTTACAGTCATATGAAAATCGAAATGTCTAGTGACAGAACCTACATTCCAAATAAAGTTATTCCACTCACCTAGATATTTATATTTAATATTTATTAAATATGCAAGCATCATAAATTAAAAATATTCAGGCAAAGCTGCTGTATTCACTTTAACATGAAAATGTTCCCAGGGAAATTCAGTGAAATCACAGAAACGTTTTCCTAACTTCCAGATAACAAAAGAAAGGAAGATCAGTTAGTCAAAGAGAAAAGGGGCAGTTCACTTGGCAAAATGTTTTATTTTTTTCTGCATAGGGAACAATCTGAAGAAATCAGGAGGATTAAATATCCCTTTGCATATACCCCAATTACTCTGTCAATGCTCAGCCTTGCAAATGCATTAAAATGTGAAAGCTACTAAGACTTCAGCAAGATCTCATAAATATCCAAGAAAAGTGTTAATCTTTCCATAAAGACTTGCATTATAAGACACATAGTTTCACACTCCTTTAACTGGTTAAATGCCAGTGAGCACTTGGAAGCAGTGGTCATTACAACGTATGATTATCAGGCTACAGTATGTAGCCAGGGGATGTGTCACCGAAGTTGGCATCCTGCATGCCTGTATCCAAATTCAGAAAAATAAATCATCATCACATTTTCCATTTATATAAGCAAAACACAAAATTATGCATGGAGCACAGCACTTCCACCAGTGTGGTCTCTGAGGTGGAGAGCATCAGTCCCCATTCCTACAGCTGGAGGGAATGCTGCTCAGAGGCAAAAGGAAAAATGTTCCATTGCACCTAGAAGCTCAGCTGTTTCTCTGAAGATCCTGACTCATTTCCTAGTTTGATCAATAGTCCTATGTCGGCAGACAAAATTAATTTCTTTTCAAGCCACTTCTTTGGTTTGGAAGACAGTATGCAGGGGAACAGACACTTGCCAGTCAGACCTGTTAGGCTGTCCATCAGGACTAATAGGAACTTGGTAACATGTGGGACACATTCTGATCAGAATCTGGCCACAAGTTTTCCATAGTGCAGTATAAATATTGGGAAATTGCAAGGAAGGATTTTTACAGAAACAGAGCAATAATAAGACTAAATAGACCAGCATTTAAATCAAACACAGAATTCGTTTTAGAATTTCTTAGCCTCTTTTCCCACCTCCTTTTGAAGCAGAATTAGGGGTCAGGCCTCAGAAATTTTCATGCTAACATTTACAGCCAATCTTTGTCTAATGGTCTAAGCTGTAAACAGATCAGAGAAAATCGTCCTCTGCATTCATCAAGAAGCCCTTCAGATTTTATAAATTCAAAGTCATTGAATATATATTTTTTCTTCAACTTGGCTTATTCTGTAGAGCTCAACGAATTCCAATGAACATGCTGCCTCCCTACAAAATCCATTCATTCACTGCAGTTTAATGATTGTACATATCTTTTGACTTGAGTATGTTGAATAAGCTAGCTTAATAGCTTATTATTATTTTTAACACAGACATGTTCAATGGCATTTTTGAAATTCAGGAAATTACTAGGGTAAAGCAATGAGGCATAGAAAAGTTCATCCCAATTTATCTAAGAAACAGTAAGGAGCAGAAAAATAGGAATACAGAAGCAAGTATACGAAACTGCACTTCAAACTCATCTGAAGTGATTACACCATAGAATTTACCTACAATGCAACCTATAATTTCATTTTCTGCAGTGCCACCACTTTTTACAGTGGATATACATTTAAATCAATCCTTATCTAAACTTTCAGACAAGCCAGTATTTGGGTCTTAGATAATCTACTTCATATCTCAGACTTTCAGCAGGCTGCTGAACAGTACAACAGTAGCATCAGATGTTCTGGAAACACTTAGCTACACAGTGCTTCAGAAATGTGGCAAAATCTAGCCAAACTCCTGTCATGGCTCAATGCTAAGGACAAGAAAATACATTCTAGAAATGACAAAAGTTGAAGTCAAATCGTTTCAGTGTACCTGAGGTGCACTGTACTGATATCCACCACAGCACACTGCCTGCCCTATCTCATTGGGGGGAAAACAAAAAGTAAAATAGGAAATAAAAATGACAGTGTATACAAATGATTCTTCAGTGGTGTATTCAGGATTCTTGAAGAGTGAAGGGAAAAAAAAAGCTGTCAAATGGAAGAAAAGTCAGTAAGAGAGGAACGGGATTAAAACAGACCAAATAGAAAATACAATCAAAGATACAGAAGTTAAATTGTAAGAACAGAAGTGCATACTCTAGTCCATTCGTGTGAACATGTGGATACCTTAAACAGTATATAAAAACCAGGCTAGAAAGTCACCAAAGAAAAGAAACATTGATCAAGAAGTTCCATATACATGTTAGTTGTGAGGAAGTACACTCAAAAGTAATAAATTTAGACCAGTCTTTCTAAACACTATTTTCTATGCAATCATTAGTTGTTATCAATTTCTTCTTTTTCACACAGACGAGAAGATTAGGACAAATAATTCTGAAGAAAAAAGCTACAGTAGAATTGATAGGGTATGAATAAAAAGTGACAAAAATGCAGATAATAAATAGGTATGTTTCATACCTCTAGAAAACCTTTTATCTAAGAGAATCAAAAGGCTTTATAACATTAATTAATTTAGCCTTACAGCCCCCTGTGTTCGATAAACATTATTATTCCTGTTGTACAGATGAGAAAACACAGAGAGATTAAGTGTCCAAGACCACACAGAAAATCTGTTTCAGAATGAGAATCCTTAACTCCCATCCTATATTTAAACACAAAGCACCTCTCTATTACTGTAAATGAAGGGACTGGGCAAATCATGTCATCCAGGATTTTGTCTCCAAGCCCAAGAAACACAATTGTCTCTCTGTGAGTTCACAAGCAGGAGGAGGAAGAATGTAATCTTATCTGAAGGATACCCTGATTAGGGTGGTGCCCTCCCAATATTCACTAAGCCTTGCCAGTCTGTTATCCCTACAAAGCTTGTCTGTTATTCCCTGTGCAGCCCTAACTCTAACATTCACTGGTATTTTGTATAGCACTGCCTGGGTATGTACACAGACTAGATTTTCCAGCCCATTCGAGAATGCAAATTATGATACTAAGGCTTCCAGTAATGGAACCCCGTAGGCAGCAATAAGAAGACAGAAGAACCTTGCTCTGACAGATGTGACTGTCGTGACGAAGCTGCTAACACAGAGGGATTGGTTGTAGTCATGATAGCCATGCATGCAAATCTGTAAAGACTGGAAAGCCCCACAGAGAAAATTAAAATTTTATTTCCAGCTAAAATTTTATCTTGACAAGCAGTTAATTTATATAATATTTTAAAATTGTTTTAAAGGGAAAATATAAACTATCTGTGGGATGATCTGGGGCTTTGAAGCAACTCCCAAGCCGTTGCTTCAATAGCCCTTAGAAAGAGGTTTTAAAATTTGTACATTGTTGTTGCTGGCCAACCAGGGATGTCCTGATGATTCCCAGCAGGCTTTCACATCAGCATACATTTATTTACTGAAGCTCATTCTATCACATCTTCACTAATATTGTTATCCAAGCTAATTAGATTAAAGTTAGCCTGGTAGGCCTCAGCATGCTGCACTCGCACCTCTCAGATGCAGTGTAGGCAACACCTACGGTCTGAAAACCAGGCTCTGCAGGCATGTGCAGTAATTTGTGGGGGAGGAATCATATTCACTGAACATTACAGGGAGCCCCTAAGTTTGTGTCACAGCTGCCTGGGACCAGTAAGTACAACATTATTTATTACATGCACTGACATAAGCACAACCCCCCCCCCCAACAGAGCAGCAGACACTGCTTGAGGTGATGTCCCTCTGTTGACATCATGCCTTACTATTTTCCAGCTTCCTTTCGGCAAGAACTCCTCTTGTAAGGCAAACTCTACCACAAAGTACTGGGAGCTACATAGCCAATCTGATAGAAACAGGATAATGTCAGCAAGAACGACTGCAATAGCCCGCAGGCAGCATCCATTCTGATAACTTAACATACACTATATTCTGCTAAGTTTATTTCCATAAATGTTACTCAGTAAGTCAGCATGTAAAAGGACAGTTCTACCCAGTGATGAATTTCTTGCTTGAGTGTCTGGCTATTCTCTAGCCCCAAATTGTTTCCATATTAAGAACCTTGACTGAATTTTTCCAAAAAAGGGACTACCTTGACTTTCTGGGTATAATGCAAGACTGACTGTAAGGGTTTTTTTTCTGCAGAGGTTGGCAAAATGGCAATGTATCAAGAAATGATTTAAAAGCTTCAAATAGTCTTTACTGCAGATATTACTTGATTAATATGTATGTGTATTTAACTGTATTCCTCTCTGCATGCACAAATCTAGAAAAGTGCATGTTATACATATATATATATGAAGACACTGGTGAAGCATTAATTTGTTTTCTGCCCCCTAGTACAAAAAAAAAAGATTTATCAGTTTAGCTGTGCTTATGTCTAGGGCACAGTTCATATAGGAAGAGATGTCAATCTAGTAGCCACTTGCAAAATAAATGCAAAAATAAAAGAGGAATCACAGCAAGATGACTTTCCCCTTCATATTTCCTTAAGCTGGGATTTGATTTTAACATCTTTGTGAAAATAATCCATATAGAAAATGGTCATTAACTTCTGAGCTATCCAGATGCCACAGTTCAAGTACCCGGGAGGCAGGCAGCTAGATAAGGAGCTGCTCGGTAGAAAGCTGAATTTATGAGCCTGATTTTCAAACTA